ATAAACATAAATATTTATATATTCTGTATTTATCATATTTTTTATTTATTTTTATTTGTTAGGAGCAAAATATAATAAATTGAAAATTCTATGGATGCAAATTATTTTGCATCTTTTTTCTTTTTTTGTAAATTATTTAGATGCATTTTTTCTTTGCTAATTTTCGTACCCCTAATTGAATTATTTTCTATTCATATATTGATTCTATTATGTGTCTCTTTATTTTTCATATGTTATTATCTTTTTACATATATCATTTTACTGTTTTCTTTCTTTTAATTTATTAAATAACTCAATTTATGCACTAGTACTTTTATTAATTCATCTGTCATTAAATATTTCATCATTTTTCAAGATAAATATGAAATTTTTAATATTATGAAAGAATTTTCACAATACAAAATAGAGCAATTGAACTAAATTACTTCAATTTCTTTTAAATCAGTTTAGCCTATACTTCAAAATTAATAAAATCATTATAAATTAAAAAATAAAATGACAACAACATTACCAATACATTTTAATGTCATTTTTATATTCATTAATATTTTTATTGTATTTCATGTCATTTATTTTTTTTAAATACTTTATTTAACGCAACTCTTATTTTCTTCTTTAAAAAATCAATTAATATCAATTTCATAATAACCAATAAATAATATTGATTATAAAACAATAGTTAATATTTGTGTTGTTTATTTAATTATTCATTTGTTATTTTGGATGACAAGATTTAATTAGTCAATAATTATATTATTATTTATTTGTATGAATGTAAATGTGATTGGCTATTCAAATAATTATATTTATTTCAGTCATTTGAACAGAAAACATAGATCATTAATAAAGTAATGAAGATGAATAAAAGTAAAACATGAATATAAAAAATAGAAAGAAGTAAAGAAAATAATAAAAAGACAATATTTCATAAATAAAAGAAAAATAGTCATAACAAATAAGAATAAATGACGACAATAACAAGGATTGTGTTATATAGTATTTGTATAAGAAAATAAGAATAATTAACTCAATAATTAGAAAAGGAAGTATTACACGTGATACTAAGAATTGATAGAATAAATAAAATATGAAAAATAAAATTAATATGCAATATCAATTTTCTCATAAAAGAAATAACAATAGAAACAACGGGAAATATTCTATAATAATTCTATAATCTAAAAACAGAAATATAAATATACTTTTCACTTCAAAAATGCAATTTATATTTCAATTAGATAATTAAGATGATAATTAACATAATTTTATTATCGATAATTAACTATTAATATTACAAACTTATTTTTCTGATTGGATATTAATTAAAATTCAACTCTATTTGTCATTCATTGTTTTCATTCATTTATTTTGAGTGTTTGATAATCATCATTCTCACTGTCACTTGTGGAATAATGCCATTTTTGCTGTTAATTATGTTATTATTAGTTTATATAAATCCACGTTGATCCACGTATACATGAATACATGAATAAGAAAGTGTGAATAACAGCCAACACATCAATAAGCCAACACATCAACCATACTGAGTATTTAAAGGAACTTGAAGAAATAATTAGCATTTAGAAATAAGGTATGGATCCAAACAAATGGACAGATGCAACAGTTCAAATGTTCAAAGAATCACAAGAAAAAGCATTTGAAAGAAAGAATGCATATATCATGCCAATTCACATGATGAATGCAATTGTTGAAGAAGAGTCGAATATTATTATCCGAATAGTCGAGATGATGGGAGGTGATGTTAGTAAAATGAAGAAAGAAATACAAGAAAGGAATGAATAAG